CGCCTGCATGCCAAACACAGACAGGGTGCCGGTGCCCGTGCAGTCCTCCTTCCTGACGCCGCAGGGGAGGATATGCTAGATGTGGCCCACGTATTGCAGCTCACCGTGGGGCCACGACGGCGCGGGCTTCTGTGCGGCGGCCGGCGGCTGCATCGACGGTTCAGAGCCGGCCGCAGGCTTGGCGCGGAGGCGAGGGGGTGCGGGCGGGAAGCTCAAATAGCTTTTTAATGTTTCTTCATTTAACATGGAGGAACATTTTAATCAAATTGCTATTTTAATCTAATTGTGCTTAAATTTGGGCATATTTTCATATATCTGTTTCTTTATGGCGAACTGACTTTTAATATTTTTTAGTGGATTGTTCACTAGTTGGTTGGTTTTGATATTTTTGTTTGGTCCTTATGAGTTTTTTGCTTAAAAAATTTTTTGTATATTAATGAAATTTGTCCGTTGCCTCTTGACAATATTTTCCCAGGCTTGTTCTCTATCTTTTAACCAGTGGGGCTTGGATTTAATTTTTTTTGTCTTTTAACTTTATTACTTTTTTTGGACTGAGGAAGTAAGAGTGTATATGAAGGAAAGCAGCTAAGAAGAGTAGAAGGATTGTCTAAATATGTAGGTGTGGAAAGAAGAAGCAAGCAGAACCTTCCCAGCTCTGTTGCTCAAGTGCATATCCCCTTTCATAAGAGTAACCAGCCTTTCAGAGCCGCCAGAAAGTAATTGATACCTAAACTCAAAAGTCCTTTTCGTATAGTTTTCATTAAAAAAAAAAAAAAAAACAAGGCAAAAATATTTATAAAAGATACATTGTTGGATAAAAGGTAGATTTACCCTTAAAAAAAAAATTATGGGATTGGGTGACAAATTAATAAGCAACTTATCCATGCCAACTATTCCAGCCAGCTTAATTCTCATCAACCACTATAATTTATTAACAGTGAGGTGAGAAAAGACATGAATCAGCTTAATGTGATATAAGTAGGGCGTTGCTATAGCAACAAGATGCAGTCTGTTTTCTACTATTTATGTATGGTTTATTTTCTCAGAGCTTCTGAGTTATTGCTTGAAACAAATGGAATGAAAAACATCTTGTTCTGAACACACCTCCCCCACCCATCAGTGAGTATATGTATATAAAACCACACTTTCTTTTTTTAAGAGAAAACTAACAAAAGCACATGAAATGCATTTTTAAACATGTTTATAGCAAAAAGGCTAACTACATAATTTGCAATCTATTGTGATTTTACAGAACACAAATGTTTCTTATTTTCACCTCTGAAACACAGATTCCTCACTGAAACCTGGTAGGGGGGGGGGGGGGGGGTGCGGGGCGGAAACCAAAACACATGCTGGAAGTCAACCTAAGGCTAGCACGGCTTCTCAAAGGAAACATTCATGTTCTCTGTTCAGTCTGGAACTACTCCCCTCTTACAAAGGAGTAACCAGACTAAGACTGGTGAGTCTATTTATTCAGAAGAAAAACTCAATCCATAGAAGATAGCAGGGTCTGAGTTTGCAACTCCTTCTATGCCTATGAAAGGCACACAAACATTTAAACAATCTTAAAAACAATTGCCATGGAGTTGATTTCAACTCGTGGTGATGCTTGAGTGTTGGAGTAAAAATTGTGCTCCCTAGGGTTTTCAAAGGTGGAATTTTGGGAAGTAAATTCCCAGGCCATTCTTTTGAGGCACCTCTAAGTGGACTCAAACCACAAACTTTTCAGTTTTCAGTGTATTTTCAACTGTTTGCACAAATATGCCCCATCTTTTGCCTGAAATATCATAGTTGGAATATTCATTTCATGAAAGATCACTATAATATTTCCTATTCTTCACTTTCCTTTGAGGGTAGAGAATTTATAGATTTTAAATTAAAAATGGGCTTGCTTATCACCTGGCTGTAGAAGGCATCTGGGGTTCTTGTGTGGAAAAGGAAATGATAGAGTCTTTCTGTCACCCTCTGCCCTCATGCATGTTTTGGATTTCAAATTCCTGTCATAATCGCCTCCATGTTTTATCAAGACAGATAGAAATAGTAAACATTAAATATTGAATTTTCAGTGTCTTTACTCTGCATCAAGTATTAATTGATGTTTGTCAATTTGGCTATCTTAATTGAATCTTTGAATCACTTCATATGTTTAACAAATATTCATGATCCTCACAAGCCTTCTACCACAGGGTTAGGGCTTTAACTGAGGAGGCTCAGGAATGACCAGCATCACTCGCCATTCATGAAAATGACACTCAGATCTCAAATTCTACCATGCTCATCTTTATTGTTGTTGT